GTGTTCAAGAGGAAGCTGGGAAAATCGCAGACACAGCGCCTGAAAAATACAAATGTAGTGAGGCAAAACGCCAAGAAGACAGAGCTCAGTCCAAAACAAGAGTGAGTCTGGGGTTGGCTTTCACTTTCGACTGAGATGTTTGCAAACAGTCACCAACAATTTCTGCATAATGTACAATTTAACAACTGTAAGAGGATTCTCTGCGGCCCTGTCTGCACATTTACAGATATTTTTGAAAACTAATATTTTCTCCCTCTGTATTCAAAAATAATTTTGCCCACCCAGCCTTCATTTTACAAAATATCTCCGTCCACACCAGAATGCAAAGTTTGCTATGTTTTTGTCTGTTTTCACTGTGTCTTCAGAGATCCTCCAAGTTAGTACAGTGTGCAGGCTAACATTAACTTTTTAAAAACACTTACTGGAGACATCATCACCATAGACTCCCATTCAAAATAAGGATGAAGGGGCTTAATCACATATAAAAGTGATGCTCTGGATATGCTTTAAGTTTCCCTCCCATTCCTCATCGACAGCAATCCCACTCTGAAAAGTGTCCCACCATCTGCTGCTTCAACTGGCTCTGATGCAAAACATTTCTGGCAGACCTGAAACTGCACACACTGGGTGGAGCAGATGCCATCGGTAAAGTGGTGCAGCAAAATAGAGTCTATGTGTAAAGTAGTCATTGGACCAAGCAGAGCTAGTAATGTTTGCATACCAGTAGTTGTTGTTTCTAGTGTATGCTCACATTGATGTCATTGTTTCCCAAATGCTCCGTTTCACACGTCCACACAGATAAACACTAACTGGTGTTTGGAAAAATCTACAACTTAGAAGGCGTTTTCAAAAATGGCAGTTTTAGTGACCTTTGTATGGACAAGAGGCCAAAACGTAGAGTCCCTGTAAAAGAATATGTACAAGTGTAGACAGGACTAGAGAAGAAAGAAACATCCTTTTTCCCTGTTTCAATTTGATAAGATCACAGGTGACCTTTTCAAAACAAGTTAAAGCCAGAGCGTCCTGTCTCCTATTGATATCCTTTATTGCTCTCCCTCTAAGCTCCTCTCTATCCTGCAGTGCCTCCCACTTGTCACAGGAATACAAAGTCCAAAATATTTGTGCGCCTGTGTTGGGTGACTGTGGGGTTTAGTTGCCTGTGTCTACATGACTCACTCGGCATAAAGCACAACAGGATGATATTTCAGCCTATAAACTGTCCCCGCACTCTTTCTGCAATTTAGAGGAGGATTTGTGGCAGCTTGGCTCGGCTGCGTCCTGGTGTCAAAGTGCGAAAACCATCAGACAGGGCCATGAGTCAGAGATGGCGTCATGACAGCACTGCAGTGAGCCTCAGCTATGTGTAGAAGTGTGTGGTGAGGAGCCGGGGTAATGGGCCATTTTATGGCTAAAATAGCAGCGGTCCTGTCTGGAAATATGAAGACCTTTTTTTCCTGTTTTGTACGTGAACTGCTAAAATGATTTCAACAAATCATTTAAACACATGATATTAAACTGTCCAACACAGATTTACTTGTTAAAGGTGTTTGTGGTAATACTTACTCCAACACTGACCCAAAATAACCTCATGAACACCTTTAAAAGACTCAAACCCATGGGATTTATTAGATTGAAAACAAGCAAACAAGACAACAGAAGTCCCAGTCTGAGAGGCAGCATCTCTCCTCTGAAGCACCTCCTCCAAGCCAGGTGTGCTGCACCTCGTTAACTAATGCAGCACACCTGGGCAGATCTGCAGTGGAGGGAAAAGGGACAGCAGCACACAGCCCAAACACTTACTATGAAGACCACATCTATAAAGCATTATGAGGGCATTTATAGTACATCGTAATGCATTCACTATGATTTACTTATTGACGATATTAAAAAAAAAAAATGCAGCTGGACAGAGAAGCTCACCTTTTTTTTTACTGACTTACAAAAGGGGGAGTTTTTACCCTTACCAGTACCCCTAGTAATAAACATTTGTTCAACAAGAAATAATAGTTCCATTTTGACTTCACAATACAAATTCATTCAGCTTCATTTGAAACAGACTACATTATAGATGGTCCGTTATTTATTAATCCCTCTGTATCTTTATATTTTTACTTTATATCCGCTCCCGTTGGCTTCATAAAGTTAATGCATCATGCCGTCATTTCAAACTCAACACTTCCTGAATTTATTTCAAATTAAAAGCCCCTTATAACCTCGGCAGAGAATCCCTCCATTTTCTAAATAGGCTTTTATTGTGAAACATTTGTAGAAACTTGTTGTGGAGGATTCAGTAGCTTGTATGTTTGCGTACAGTACTTCAAATGTGGCTCCTGCCATCTGCTGCCGCTTTTTACTTTACTACAACAGCATTTCAGCTGGCACATGAACAGACACAGTGACTGAAATAATAGTAAAAGTAATAAAAATAAGACAAGAATAACCTGATAACATCACACACGTCGTGAAAGACGACCCAGGATAATTGGTGTGGACCATCGCGTAGTGTGTCATGTCTGCCGCCAAATCACGGCATGATTTTATGACTCCACAATCGTGTAATGTGACATAGTGACTTTCAGAGTGGACAGAAAAGTTGTGTAGTGTGTACCAGGCATAAATCCTCCTTCACTGAAGAAGCTTAAGCTTATTTAATCCTACCCCTTCTATGTATGTTCTAAGTATGTGACTTGCCACAAATCAATTAATTTCTCTTTATTTCCAGAATCAGCTAACATTAGCCATGTTTCCATCAGCCTGTTTAGATGCGCATCTAGAAGTATCGCATCGGAAAATTATGATGGAAACGCCAAAATTCGAATTAAAATCCCCTGATTCGCACAAACTAAAACACGCTCACTTTAGCTGGGTTTTGGTTGATTCGAAAAAATGTTGATTCACAAAACGGGGGATGGAAACAGTTATGTTTGAATTAAGTCTGACGTAGCGCACCTCTCTTCATGGTGATATCCACACTCCGGGCCAGGAAGGCAGTAATGCATTTACAAGCTGGTTGCCAGAAAACGTAGAAGAAGAAGAATGCGAGACTTGTTTTGTTTCCAGTTCTGCGGAAAACTCGCGCGAGTTCGTAGTTTTCGCCAAAGTCTGTACATTTAATGGAAACACACAGGATTCGTATTTCTTTTAATGCGCATTTCCCAGTGATTCGAATCACTTTTGGATTGAAACAAAGCTACTGAAACCTAATTCCCAGCAAGTCGACACTTAATTCTCCAGATCCACTTTGAATGAGTCAATCTGACAGCATCCAATTAAGTTGCGAAAGAGAACATCAAAGAGCTGATGATACGTTACCGAGCGCCAGTTGGAAAAAATGATCCCAAAGATATTTTCGTTGAGAAAAAAAAAAAAAAAATTGCAGAACGTTAAATGTAAAAATTTACAGACAGAGAAGCAGCAACTTACAACAAACTTCTTTTAACAATTTTTTTTTTTTTTTTTTTTACAAATGTTAAAAAATAATGTTCTTGATTTTTGTAAATGTGTCATATTAGTCTTACTCTTGCTAAAATGGCAGTACATTTGGTGAAGAGCGTATGATTTGTTATGACTTGTTACAACTCGGCTTTTAGGCTGCAAGAATGTGAGGAGATGAGATGACATTTACAAAATAACAATAAATAACCCAAATAAAAGTGAAAGCCATTAATCAGTTGTGTCTGCGTGTATGAGTGTGTGGAAATGTCTGTGGAAAAACCAAAAGAACAGCAGCTGGAAGGTAGTGAGCTTTATATCATGAAGCACTCTGGCCCAGGTGTTGCTCATGAGGGTGATGATGAGCCTCTGCCTTGACTTGTATCCTGTAAGAGAAAGAACAGCCAGGGAACAGGCAAACCTAGTGGAGTGGAGGCGTCACAGACTCAAAACCCAAAGTTTAGGACTTGAAACTTGGCATGTACCTGTCTTATGTTGGGGCTTAAGCGCAAAGTCTTGAAACTTACTAGTGACTTGCAAAACAATGAGTTGGTCTCACCTGTCGTGAGTAAAATTTAATTCAAAAAAATCTATGCTGCATCATAAGGGATTATTATGTAATGCCCCCATACACTAAAATACTTTGAAAGGGTTTTTAAAGTTTGACCCCTTCTCACATCTAAAAACAATGCTGACTATAAGATTTCTCAAAGACTGGGGATGTGAGCTCACTATTTGCAAGATTGTTGGGTTCAAAAATGAGAAATTGTTGCAGCCCTTAAAATCCCAAGTGAGTATGCTACATGCTATATGCTATAGTAGTCTCTCTTGCTTTGGAGAGACTAGATTTGGATTTAGTGTGGATAGGCTCATAGAGATAAATGGATTCTTATCTTCAAACTGACATGCGATTAATTCACACAAATTATTTCAATTCAAAATCTACCGTAGGTGTTCAGTTGTCTTGAGATCTGGCGACAAATCATTGTTATAGATGTCACAGAGCATGATTAGATTTTAATCGCTTCATTTTCCCATGCAGTGCACCGGTGTGGAAGCATCTGCAACTAATATGTTTCTCTGTCTATTTATTCAGGTTGTCCTTTAATTTGTCACTCGTCTGCAATCCCTTGTTTTCCATTCGTATATACATTTCAGCTTTTATTTAAGCTTCCAAAATCATTGAGGTCCCTCTCATTTGGAATGATGCAAAGATACAGAAAAATACGCAGTTAAACAAATCACAGAGGACAATCCCGAGTGAAAACAATTGCACACAGAGGTGGAGGGGTTTGAAATATTATCTTGAGTTGTCCCGGGGTAGTGAGAGTGCGTCACAGATAATTCCAAGTGTTTGCCGCACAAAGACTAAAGGCAGATTTTCCACGTTCAGAATAAACCTGTGGGACTCGGAGCATGAGACAGCTGATGCATCCGTCCTCTGAGACCTGTGCTGTTGCAACAACAGGAGCATTACTGCTGTTGCTGTGCTCTGTCTAGCACCTCCTCACCTGCGTGCTCACCCTGTCTCTCTCTCTCTCTGTCTCTGTGACCCCCCCTCCCTCCAGAGAGGTGAAGCATCATGGGGAAACACAACAGTAAGCTGGCTCCGGAGGTTCTGGATGACCTGACCAAGAACACCGAATTCAACGAGGCAGAGCTCAAGCAGTGGTACAAAGGCTTCCTCAAAGACTGTCCCTCTGGCATCCTCAACCTGGAGGAGTTTCAGCAGCTCTATGTTAAGGTGAGGGTGAAGGGGACGCATGAAAAGAAGCATGAAGCAAAAGACGTTTACATCATGGCAGTTGATCATGTAGCAATAAATAGGGTTAGGGTCTTTTTTCAAAGTTATAGCCTGCAGTTAAAATTGTCCCCATAGTTATATAAAATGAAAAAAGTTACTCGGAGCATCGTTGGCTTGTTACATAGAAAGCTTACATTACCATGCCTGACTAATCGTCCTGTGTTTGGGGCATAGAGAGGGGGCGGAGCCTCTAATACAGCCTGTGACTCTGTTGATGCCTTAAACATTCTCAGAACATTCTGGCGCATCTGAGATGACACAGCACCATATAGACGCTGACTGTTTTTCATAGATGCACAGGGGTTAAAGATATTTTTAAATCAGTTTTCCTTATCCTCTTATTCACTTGCAAAGAAACCGACTGCAGGAAGCAATCTGTCACTGTGAACGAGGAACTAAAAGATGCGATTTTGTATCCTAGTATCAGGCTGTAAACGTACCTGGCCACAGATACGTGGTAGAAAAAGGATTAAAATTCCACCTGCATTAGGAGTCAGTTGCATGTTTTAAACAAGAATTATCAAACTTTAACTCTAAAATGTGTCTTTCAACAAACAACGTGTGGACTTGATTAAGATGAGTTGGACTCACACTATCAAATTTGATGACTTTAAACTCGACTTGACAAAATCAAAAATCACTTGCAACTTGAGTTGGACTTAAACACCAATAGCCATGTTTCCATCAGCCTGTTTAGATGCGCATCTAGAAGTATCGCATCGGAAAATTATGATGGAAACGCCAAAATTGGAATTAAAATCCCCTGATTCACACAAACTAAAATACAATTTAGCCGGGTTTTGGTTGATTTGAAAAAATGTTGATTCGCAAAACGGGGGATGGAAACAGTTATGTTCAAATTAAGTCTGATGTAGCGCACCTCTCTCCATGGTGATATCCACACTCCGGGTCGGGAAGGAGGTAATGCATTTACAAGCGCCAGAAAACATAGAAGAAGAAGAAGAAGAAGAATGACTTGTGAGACTTGTTTTGTTTCTGGTTCTGCGGAAATCTCGCGCGAGTTCGTAGTTTTCACCAAAGTCTGCATTAATGCTTATATCCCAATGATTCAAATCACTTTTGGTTGGAAACATAGCTACTGACTTGTGACTTCACTTGGACTTGAGCCTTTTGACTTGAAAATACTTGATACCTTTTCTCAAGCCCAAAGATTAAAAAATTATTAGCCCATTTAAAATGTATGCCACAAATCACTTTATTTCCTGACTCACCTAGTGTCACCACTTTTCATTCCCAGCAACTCAACAGTTAATTCCCCAAATCCATGTAGTTTGAACTGATCTCACAGCATCCAATCAAGTTACAGGAGAAACCATGAAACCTAAGGCATGTTACTGAGCACCAGTTGGATTTTTTTTTTACCAAGGACATACCTGCCAACACTGGGCTGTAAAAAAAGGAGATTTTCTGAGATATTTTTTAAAAATTCAAACTAGCCATTTCCACCCTGTAAAGCAATTGCGTTTAATCAATATAGGTACCCCCTCAATGATGAAGTCAAAATAAAAAATCACAGATCTTACCTTTCACGAGCTCTGTAGTCTTGGTTCTCCCTGACGCATATTTCCAAGCAATTGCAGAGTCAGGAAACATGTCTGCAACACTTTTGCTGAAGTCATCACACAATGAAAATGAGATGTTGCTCTTCGCGACCAGCATTGCCATTTGTACCTCTGCCTTCATAACTTTATCAGCCTCCGACACACCTCTCAGCAAGAACGAGCCGATGTTAGCAGTTCCTCTCTGTGCCTCCACTGTCTGTGTGTGTTTGCTGCAGTTAGCGTGTTTGCTAACGTCGTTTTTCCCGCCGTGTTCCACACTAAGGTCTGCCTGACATAGCTTGCAAAACGCGTAGTACTTGCTGACATGGCTAGTGACTAGAAAAGGGAAGGAAATTTCGACGCATACTTCTTCATTAGTGGGAGCTGTTTCATTCATTTTCAGTTTAGTAATGTTCCGCCTCAAGCTGGGGCATGGACGTGAGCTTTAACGTGCGAAGTCACGCACAGCACTTCGGGCGGGGCCGTTAGGGTTGGGTTGTCATATAAAACGACATATAAAACACCAGTTGACTCATACCACTATGAAATCGGGAGAAAGCAGGAGAAATTACCGATCGGTAGCAGGGGAGGAGAAAGGGTTAAAAATAGGGAGACTCCGGCATAAATCGGGAGTGTTGGCAGGTATGTAAGTATGATTTCATTCACATACAAAAAACATGTAGAGTATACAAAACATGTGAGTTTGTTCTAACAAATAAATACAAATTTTAGAAAGCATTCATGGTTTTTGTGAATTTAATATATAACTACTCTGTTGTTAAAATGGCATTACATTTGGTGAAGAGCACATTGTGACTGGTTTAGGACTTGAAAATGAAAGTTTAGGACTTGGGACTTGTCACTCTTGATCTGGGACTTAACTTGGGACTTGGGTCAATCCTGTAGTATTGCCCTTTAGTAAAGTCACAGGAGACGGATTAAGATCGATGAAACAGAGGTTGAGCTATCCTGACCTTTAGTCCCTTGCAGAGGTCAAGCTCCAGAAACACTGGATCCTACATTGCCCATAATGCACCTCAGCAGGGTTTGTCCTGAAGCATTGCACAATGTAACTGTCACCTTGTTTGTCTTACTTTTCCCTCCCTAGTTCTTCCCTTACGGTGATGCCTCAAAGTTTGCTCAGCACGCATTTCGGACGTTTGATAAGAATGGTGACGGGACCATCGACTTCAGGGAGTTCATCTGCGCCCTGTCCATCACCTCCAGGGGCAGCTTCGAGCAGAAACTCAACTGGGCCTTCAACATGTATGATCTGGACGGGGATGGAAAGATCACACGCATGGAGATGTTGGAGATCATTGAGGTATGTGTTTGTGAGGGGGAGGGTTTACTGGTTCCTGTACAAGAAATCATTTCTTGACAAAATGTCTGATTGTCTTCCTCTCCTCCTTTCAGGCCATCTACAAGATGGTCGGCACTGTAATCATGATGCGTATGAATGAGGACGGGCTGACCCCGCAGCAGCGCGTGGACAAGATCTTCTCCAAGATGGACAAGGACCACAATGACGAGATCACCCTGGAAGAGTTTAAAGAGGCCGCCAAGTCTGACCCCTCCATCGTGCTACTGCTGCAGTGTGACATGCAGAAGTAGAGAGAGGGATGAGTGGAGAAACAGAGGGAGGGAGGGGAGGGATGGGAGAAGAGCTGAACTGAAACAAGAGAGGGAAGGAGGATGAGAGAAGAGAGAGGCTGGGGGAGACAGGGAGGGATGCAGTTTGGGGGGGAGGAGGAGGAGGAGGAGGAGGAGGTAGGGTAGCTTTATTCCTTTTTTTGAGGCAGTGATGACGGGCAGGGAGCCATGTTTGGAACACAGTGGACCCCTGATTGATGCCATTCTCTTCTTCCAGGCTGTCCTGCTGTGCAGTGCACTCCTGCAGCACTTGTGCCTCAGTCTAGCTGGGTGTCCTTACAAATCCACTCTGATGATTTTTGAAAAGAGGAAATTCCCCCAGCACCCTGCAGCCTGATATACTGCGGGGTGATTTAAGTGCAGAGGTTAGCTTGCACCTTTGTCCTATTTCTACCAACTTTTTCCTTTGTATGATAGTGAATAGCTTGCCCAACCTTATCAAAGTCTTAAACGCCAAAGATATAATAACAAAGCAGTTTGTTTTCGAATTATGTAAATGAACATGGATTTAAATGGCCATGAAAAAATATGCTCATTTGTTTTCTGTCTGGGTTAGATAAGAAGATTAATACCGCTATCATATTTGTAAAATGCAAAGCTACAGTCACGAGACGATTAGCTTGGCTTAGCATTAAGAAAACAGGGAAGCCAGTTATCCCAGTTCTGTTCAGGAGTAAAGAAGTCTGCCCATAAACATCTTGAAACGCCACTAACGTGTTATATATTGTTCCTGGAGGTTTTGTGGAGTCCTTGCTGGTTTCCGGCAAAGCCACGATGACATCTGGACTTTGGAAAGTCAGTGCTTACGGCCAAGAAACAGTCTGACTTACAACCAGTTCGTTCTCTTCCCCAGGCGGTCAAATACGGACACTTTGTCACACCCCTCTGTGTGTGATAACGTTGACCATTTAAGCACCCTTTAGCGTCTTTATGAGACTCACTGGGCTTTTAACTAACTCCAATGTAAACCCATCTGTGATGATACCTGAGACAGAGAGAAACTGATGTAGTATAAAGAACGAGAAAGTCAGTGTCAGGCAAGAGGGAGGAAAGTCGATGTTAAGTATTTTTTAAGGTGTTGCTTTATGTAACAAACATACTTATTCAAGCCAAGACATGATCTTTCTTCTAAATCTATCAAAAAATAGTTTTTGCCTGAGCCTAAATACGACTGTTTCACATTAACCACGTGTTAACAATGTGTTTTCGCTGTGCGTCCGTATGAGACGCTGAGGGGCAAACCATCTTAATTTGACATTCTGGGAATGAGAACGAGTTGTTTAGCCCCTGGTATAGCTGCAACTTGTTGCTTTTACGCTTCAGATTTTTGCTTAACTTCTGGACAGAGCTAGGCTGGCGGTTTCCTCTTTTCCAGTCTTGATGCTATGCTAAGCTAATCATCTCCTGGTTCCAGCTTTATAATTACCACACAGACATGAGAGTGAACTACTCATCTAATTCTTGTCAGGAAAGCAAACAAACATATTTCCTGAAATGTCAGACAAGTGTGAATTCCAGCACTCATAATGCCAGTGTCACACTGCACAGCCAGTGTTGGGTGCTGTGCACCATGGAATAGTTTGAAAGAAAGGAATGGCATTAGAACAACAAAGGGCCTGTTGTTCGGCCCATCAAGAGCCACAAGACAAAAGCAAACGTTCTGCTGATAGAGGGAGAATTATGTAAATGAACAATACCGTGAGCTGTGCATGAGTTTGTGTTATGGTGTTCATATGTGTGTAAACAAGTGAGAATGTGTGTGTGTGGATATTTTAGGAGCAAAGTACACTTCACGAGCCCAGATCAAACTGCCCCCTCCGCTTGTGTTTGTGTGTGTGTGCTGTTGCATTCATTTGTTCTTCAGCAGCCAAATCCACAGCCAGTTGGATGGCACTTGAAGAAAAGTATTTCCCGATAGATTACAGCATGGTGTCCGCACGCTTTGCCCTCTGAGTGTGAGGCAGACAGGTGATGAATGTCTCAGACGGCTGCCTCCAGCAGCATGGCGAGGCATACTGATGTGCTGCTCAGTGACTTCTGGCTGCGCCTAAAGCTTTTCCACACGCACCGACAAAATCAATATTTTATCAAAATGATTACATGTGTTTTATTAAAAGGACATGTAATTAGGTTAGAATTAAGCCTTGTCCTCCACATAATCTAATCTGGGCTTTGTCCAGCAGTGAACGTGTTCTCTTTATTTGAATGTCAGCTATAGTTCCAGTGTGCTGAGGCAACAGGAAATTAACATTTGACATTCAACTTCACTTAACTTATAAAATATCAGCTTGACGTCAGCTTGTTATGATTAAAGTCACTGTGAGTAATTTTCTTTATGTAATTACAGTATCTTCTGATCTGTGTTGTTTTCAGTGCAATGCAGTGCTCTCCCTGTGTTTCTTTTGTAACACCTGAGGGCACAAAAGTTGAAAATTTGTGTTAAATTTAACACACTGTGGTTGAAACTTGGTTTCAAATCTAAAAGTCCCCCAGCTCTCAAACGTGTTTTTCAGACGTTAATGTCCCCTAAAATGCCTGATCTTGCCTATGTTGACCTTTATCTGTGCAGCGTATCCTCATAGAACGGTTCGTCTGACATCCTATAAATCAGCGCCCCATGAATGACTTTACATTCTTAACATAAAGTTATGGAATAAACATACTAAGGACGTACCTTAAAATGACTCAGAGTTCTGAACACCCATCTCCTGGGGAAAGTCCTGTGTTTTGTGACCCATCCACCACCCCAACCTATAGTCTTACAAGCAACATCTTCCTCCTTAACTCCTGTCAGTGCGTTGGTCACGTGATCACAGCCTTCCAAAATACAGCAGTTATGAACGAATAACTGGCTCATGATAACGTCGGACTGTACTAATGTGGGTGCATTACTTATCATAGGAGAACTTTCAAACAGTTTATGAGAACAGCCTGATCTGTGCAAAGTTAGTTAGATCCACATTCCTCTACTGTCTGTGCACTTCCCAAAAATCTAAGATTCACACATATGCTAACTAGATTAGGTACCTCACTAATACAAAAGCCAGTCGCTGCCTAATACGAGAAACATATATCGATGGGGAACAGACTTTGACACAACACCGGCAAGTTTGTTTTGACAGCAAACATTATAGAGGGTGCAGTTTCTGGATGCTAACCGGATCAATGTGAACACTGCCAGTTAGCCTACAAGCTAACAAACAACAAACAGGTAAAAGTTGCTAACTATACTTCCCAATCTAGTGCATCTGCTCATCGTAGATTTTCTTGCACAGCAGACTCTTCATCTGGGTCTGACTGAGGCTTGAACATGTATGGTTGAATCTGTCTGATGTTTCCCCAACACTAACGCTAGCCATTGTGAATGGAAAGCCTGTTCTTATTTCTAGGGTGTCAAATGCCCGCTCTTTGTCACACCCATCGACATCGGTGTGAGATATTGACGCCAAAGGCAACCTTTAGCATTTTTAAGAGACACACCAGGCCACCAGACACGTGGCAACACTTTACACTCAGAGACCACAATTCCACAATGTTCTAACTTAGGCCATGTTTACACGAAAACGATCCACGGGAAACAGAATCGTTTTGCATTTTCGTTTTGAAAAAAGTTCCGCGTTTAGACGACAACATTTTGATAACAATCGCCGTGCACATGGGTCTGCAAAAATGCTGCAGTACACATGCCAGGCCAGTAGTTGGTGGTGTGGCACTTACACTTTCATCTACAGAGCGGAGATGTATAAACAAACAAAATGGCAACCGCACGAACGTTTGTCTGGACGGACGACGAGATGGAGTTGCTACAGTAAATCTACACTATGATGGGAAGTGTTGATAAATTCAATAGGGTGAGCAGCACAAGCAGAGCTCCAGAGTCCGCCATTGTTGTTGTGATGGTCGACTTTGGTGACTGGAAGCGTAATGCGCACGTGCAAAAAATCTCCGTTTTCAGAGGAACTGCATATTGCAAGTTTACATGACAACGGAGACGGTGCCATTTCCAAAAGAATTTCACTCTGGAACCCGTTTTCAAAACGTTGCGTTGCCCAAAACGCTGCTGCCGTGTAAACGATAGGCCAAAATGCAACTAAAGTTTACCATTTTCAGTTGAAATCGTATAAACGGGACCTTAAATTACGCCACCTATGACTTATGTACTTACTAACCTACGTCCCATGTAAAACCAAGCCATTGTTATATTACCCTAACATTTGAGTTTATATGTTTTAAAACGTGTCTTGAGGGGACATTTAAGAACTTCTTTATATAAGCTCAGTTGATTTTCATGACAAAATAAGCCAGTGTTGAAGTTTAGAAAATAACATCCTTACGTTTTCTGAAGACTTTAGCATCCAAACTCTGAAACATCCTGCTTCATCAGGAGTGTGTGGGTGTGATTTGATCAAATTTGACAGACAGTGACCTGGCAAGATAAGAAAACAACACCCACAACTGTCACCATATTCTGATTCAAATGTTGCTAATCTGTTATTGGCGTACAGAAGAGACTTCACCTTTTTCAAACAGTGAGCTGCCCACTCCAAAACACTGAGGAGAGCATTATGAAAACAGCACAGACAGAAATCTCTCAGTAGAAATAACAAACTTTTGTAACTTGGTAGGTTTTCAATGCCTTCAATGTTTTAGAGAAGTAACCTGTGTAATTAAATATCACCAATATGATTTGATAACAATGCAGTAACTTATTCTTAGGAGTTGTTTGATCAGTAGTAATTATTAGATTAAGTTCATTAGCTGTAATAGATCATAGGTAATTAATAAAAAAAAACACTTATGCTATTTTAAGTAATTATTTCATTAACAGGTTTAATTATAGTGGAGACTTTAAGATCTTACATTGCTACGTTATTACAGTTGCTATTTGTGCATTGGATAAATTTAAACTGTGTCTGCACCTAAAAAAGAATAATCAGCTTTGTGTTTACCAGCTAACTCTGGAAATCATGTCAACAGTCTAACACTTTACACAGAACC